CTCATACTATACGAGAATAATCCATTTGATAAGAGGATCCTCTCCTCGGCTGACATCGATCACACCTCACGCGGATGATGATGGGGGACACAAGGTGCACTTCAGAGGTGCCCTTACCACAAAATGCGCACTCCTACACAATATAGTAAAGCAACCTCTTTCCGCTGGGGCGCGCCCGATGAGGATACAAATAACAGAATATCCTCCCTGAGCTACTTTCCTCTCCTTTCCTGAAATAAAAAGGGGTTCTCGAGCTTCTCATGGAAAGAGATAGCGCGGGGCAGAATAAGAGGGGAGGGGTAGTGAGAGGTGGTGGGTTTCTTCTCCCCTAAGAACGAATTGTCAAAACACCTCGCTAGCTCGCCGCAATCCGGTTTTTTTGGCATGTGGGACAACCAGACCTCTTGTTGTGGGGTGGGGGGGGGTAGGGGAGGGAATGCGAAGAAGCCGGCTTTTTCCTTCTCGCGAGAGTACGGGCTGCATCACCCACGTGAGGTCCATCGCCCTGGAGAGCGCTGACTTCAGGGACTCGGAGCCTAGTTTGGGCGGCGCGGCGCTGGAGACACCACGGTCCGGTGCTCAGGGCCGCCGAGGAGTACTATCTACATTAATCTAACGTAAGATGTATGCGAGCAGCCTATGCCTTTTCCGTATATTTTACCTCAACAAACTCCTTGGCCTTCAAATAACATGAAAGGTGTACTTTTAGGAACAGTGGGGTGTATAGGGACACCGATGTTCGTGCATCCATAGACAACTTGTAACACTGAAAATTCGCACGTGAGAGAGAGAAGTTGAAAATATTCAAACAGTGTCAGTAAATCTGAGCAACATGCCTTTTTAAGCAAGCGTAACATCAACTTTATCAAAAGAGGCGGTTCCCTCAAAGCATGGTTAGTCTCTCCTCCTCACCTACCCACCCCAACTCATGTTTCAGCTGCCTCCTCTTCACACGCCCATTTGCAAAAGCAGGAGTGAGAATATCCTCAGCTCTTCTCCCACAGTGGTTACCGCCACGTCCTGTTTCTTATTTCGTAAAGAACTCTCCGATTCTGTCCACCTCTCTATTCCCACTGGCTTTACCTTCGTTTTGGCCACCGCCATTTCACTAGGGTTACGGTCAGACTCCCAGCTGATTGCTCTAACTCAGCTTTGCTCTGCACCAATCTATTCTCCACACTTTGCGGCCAGTGACCATTCTAAAGCAAGAACATAATGGCACTTTACTGCTTAAAACTTGTCAGCGGCAGAAGCTTTTTATTTTGATATAGTCCCATTTGTTTATTTCCCTTTTAGTTTCCATTGCCCTAGGAGCTGTGTCAGTGAAGAAATTCCTTCGGCATATATCTGAGATTTTGCTACCTGTGGATTCCTCTAATAATCTTATGGTTTCCCAGCTTACATTTAAATTCTTTATCCATTTTGAGTTTATTTTAGTGTATGGTGTAAGTTGGTGGTCTAATTTCATTTTTTCCATGTGTCTAACCAAATTTCCCAGCACCATTTCTTGAAAAGACTGTCTTGACTCCATTGTATGTTCTTGCCTCCTTTGTCATATATTAATTGGGCATAGTGGTTTGGGTTGATTTCTGGGTTCTCTGTTCTGTTCCATTGGTCTATATGTCTGTTCTTGTGCCAGTACCAGGCAGTTTTGAGAACAGTGGCTTTGTAATATAGCTTGATATCTGGTATTGAGATCCCTCCTACTTTGTTCTTCTTTCTCAGGATCGCAGCAGCTATTTGTTTTTTTTTATTTTTTATTCCTGATGAATTTTTGGAGCATTCTTTCTACAGCAAAAGAAACCATCAACAAAACAAGAAAACCAACTGCATGGGAGAACATATTTGCCAATGATATCTCCGATAAAGGTTTAACCGTTTGAGTCCCAAGCAGCGCGATCGCGCTGCTGAGAATTTTATGTCGAGAAAACATACGATTCGTTTTGAGGTCCCCAGGGGGGTATTTGAAAAAAACACTGTCGAAGAATCCCAAAACAGCGCAACCCGCACTTTTCTCTAAAATGAGTATGAAAAAAAGACCCAAACAGCGTGATAGCGCTTGGTTTTATTTTTTTGTCGGAGAAATACAAGCAGCGCGAATGGCGCTGCTTTGGGACTTCAAACGGTTAATCCTCCAACATTTAATGGGGGAACTCATACAACTTAACAAAAGGAAGATAAACACCCAATCAAAAAAGGGGCAACGGACCTAAATAGACACTTCTTGAAAGAGGACATACATAAGGCTGAGAGACATATGAAAACATGCTCAAAGTCACTAATCATCCAAGAGATGCAAATCAAAACGACAATGCGGTACCATCTCACACCTGTCAGAATGGTTATCATCAACAAATCAACAAATGACAAATGCTGGCGAGGATGCAGAGAAAAAGGAACCCTCGTTCACTGCTGGTGGGAATGCAAACTGGTGCAGCCACTGTGGAGAACAGTATGGAGTTTCCTCAAAAAACTAAAAATGCACCAAAACCGGTTTGGCTCAGTGGATAGAGCTTCGGCCTGCGGACTGGAAGGTCGCAGGTTGTAGGGAGAGCTCAGGAGATTTATCTCAGTGCTGCGGCAGATGCAATGGCGTGAGCACGCTCCGCCTGCACAAGCTTCCTCGGCACACCAGGAAGTGGCATCGCCCGCCTGAGCTGACCTCTTAGAGCCCCTACATAGTACCCTGATCTTTCCTACTATTGGTTGCCCTATGGATGTTGTAAACTTCTGATTGGTCTGGAATGTTATATATACTGCTGCACTCACACAGTAAACTTGGATCTGCATCACTGAACCGGTCCCCGGAGTCGGACATGCTTCGTTAGGACTCCGTTCGGCCTCACCCCCCGCGGGACCCCCTGCTTCAGCAGGTTCGATTCCGGTCAAGGGCATGTACCTTGGTTGCGGGCACATCCCCAGCAGGAGATGTGCAGGAGGCAGCTGGTCGATGTTTCTCTCTCATCGATGTTTCTAACTCTCTATCTCTCTCCCTTCCTCTCTGTAAAAAATCAATAAAATATATAAAAAAAAACAAAAAAACAAAACAAAACAAAACAAAAAAACTAAAAATGGAACTTCCATTTGACCCCGTGATCCCACTTCTAGGAATATATCCCAAGAAACCAGAAACACCAATCAGAAAGGATATATGCATTCCTATGTTCTTAGCAGCATAATTTACAATAACTAAGATTTGGAATCAGCCTAAGTGCCCATCAGCAGATGAATGGATTAAAAAACTTTGGCACATCTACACAATGGAATACTATGCAGCTGTAAAAAGGAAGGAACTCCTACCATTTGCAACAGCATGGATGGAGCTGGAGAGCATTATGCTAAGTGAAATAAGTCAGTCAGAGAAAGATAAATATCGAATGCTCTCACTCATTTGTGGATTATAATGAACAATGTAAACCAATGAACAAAAACAGATGTAGAGACAGAGAAGCATCGATCATCTGAGGGAAAGCAGGGGAGGGTGGGGGTGAGGAGGAAAGATCAACCAAAGGACTTGTATGCATGCGTATAAGCATAAGTGATGGATGTGGACAACAGTGGGTGAGGGTGAGGGCAGGATTGGGGGGATGAGGGGACATTGCGGGAATAAGGACACATTTGTAATATCTTATTCAATAAAGGAAAAAAAACTTGTCAGTGGCTTTCACACACTTTGGGGAACGATGATTTTTAATTCCCACAGGATGGCACCCTTTGTCCAACTCCCATTGTCTGTGCCTCCTGGTATTCACACCCTATTTACACCCCCGCCCCTTGAGTGTGGATAGGATCTGTGACTCACTTTTAACAATAGAGCACAACAAAGGTGACATATTCTTTTTTTATTTTTATTTATTTATTTTTAATTTTTTTTATTGATTAAGTTATTACATATGTGTCTTTATCCCCACATAACCCCCATCCCCCCCACTCATGCCCTCACCCCCCTGTTGTCTGTGTCCATTGGTTAGGCCTATTTGCATGCATACAAATCCTTTGGTTGATCTCTCCCTCTTACCCCCACCCTCCCCTACCTTCCCTCTGAGGTTGGACAGTCTGATGGATGCTTCTCTGTCTCTGGATCTGTTTTTGTTCATCAATTTATGTTGTTCATTATATTCCACAAATGAGTGAGATCATGTGATATTTATCTTTCTCTGATTGGCTTATTTCACTTAGCATAATCTTTTTAAAAAATATATTTTTTCATTGATTTCAGAAAGGAAGGGAGAGGGATAGAGGATAGAAACATCAATGATGAGAGAGGATCATTGATCAGCTGCCTCCTGCACGCCCCCTACTGGGGATGGAGCCCACCACCCAGGCACGTGCCCTTGATTGGAATCCAACCCGGGACCCTTCCGTCTGCAGGCAGACACTAGGGCAAAGGTGACATATTCTAATGCTTCTCTTGCTAGGAGACTTCTTACTGGTTTTGATGAAGGAGGTGGTGATGTTGGGGTACACATGAGAAGGAACTGTGGGTGACCTTCAGCCAACAGCCAGCGAGAGTCCAAACCCTGTCACCAACCCACAAGGGCTTGGAAGTGGATCACTCCTAGCAGAGTCTTCACATGAAAACTCAGTCCTGGCTGACACCTTGATAGCCAGCTGCCGAGGACCCAGTTAAGCAGTGCCCAGACCTTCACCCACAGGCGGTGAGATAATAAGTGTAGTAATATTGTTATTGCTACATTTAATATAAATATAGTAATATTGTTATGTAGGAAAAGATAATAATGCAGTATCCTAACTTAGATGGAAAGCTCCTTTCCCCTAGAGCAGTTGTTCTCAACCTTGGCTGCACATTAGAATCACCTGGGAATCTTTTTTTAAAAAAATAT